CCAGTCATTCCAGGTCCCCCACACACCAGCTTTAATAGGGGGTATCGAGTGAGTACGTGAGCAAGAGCGCTCGGGAACAACAGAGCAACACCGACTCGGGCTGTACGGTCAGGAGAGCACCCCTGACACCACAGTTAGTTCTGAACAAGGCACACACACACATCACTGCAGCAAATGCCAAAGCTGTGGCCAGATAATCCAGTTTATTCTGGGGCTTCCGGACTTTCTCGCTGGTTAAGGTATTGTCAAGGTGTCAGGCCTAGGAAGAAGGTTTATGTAGTCCCCATACTGTTAGCCAGAACCCCCATCTAACAATTTGTTAATGAGATAAACACTGTGCCTCATGAGATATACTGCAGAAAAACAAAGCGAGAACATGTCTTATACATCTTTCTGGCAAAGGTGACCAACCATTCTGGTAATAAACAGAACATTCTTATGTCTACCATTATACCAAAAAACCTTAGTAAAAATTCAAAAATTGCTTAAAATAACACACACACACACACACACACACACACACACACACACACATTACCAATGATCAGATTCTGCCAATTTCATACCTAAATGACTCTCAACTTCTACAGCCTTCTTATTTCCCATAATTATCTCCCTGGTAGGCTTACATCTTTCAACTTACTCACTATAATAACTTTCTAAAGGTTCCTTCCAACACTTTCTTCTTCCCCACTCAATTTTCCCTCTAAAGAAATACAAGAGAGATCTTCTGAAGACCACATATGATTATGTCACTTCCCGTCTCTGGGGGCTTTCTTCCGCCAGAACAGTAAGTCTCAGCTCTTTAGGGTGGCTTACCGGGGCTTTCACAACTGAAGTCTAACCTCACCTCCAGCCCACTGCCTTCTTTCCCCATGAATCACCCCATGCTCAAATCATGTGTCTTCCTGCTGTCCCTCTGCCTAAAACACTCTTCTCCACCCTGTCTTTCTATGACCATCAGTCATCCTTCAAGGGCAAGTTCAAAAAATCCCCATTTGGTAACACACGTCCCTTCCTCTATTGATATAATTATAGAATTAAGACTAGAAAATAAGATGCCTATCTAAAAGGCAATTTCTTTAAGGAATTAATGCTCAAATATTAATCTCACTATCATAATATTTAGAAGAAATAGCCAATTTCTGTGCCCTTCTTAAAGTCTTCACATAATTTTCAACACTTAGGAATAAGTGCTGGGTAATTTTGCCTACAGCTAGTTCATAGAAAAGAGAAATACCAAGTGCTTCCTGAGAAACTTGTGGTAATTATACCCTTAACTTTTTTTTTTTCTTCATTTCAGAAACACCTTGGCAAAAGCACAGAGTGAAGCGTTTCTCTAATTGCATGCATTTATAATCATGGCCCGTACCAGTTTAAGCAAATATTAGAAATGCCTACTCAGAAAGCTCTTAGCCCCTTCAATTTGTAACAAGACATACTAGCACAAAAGGTTTCTTCTATCAAATTCATGTCTTTCTCTGTGCAGTGCTACTTCAAAGTAGCTTTCTCATTTTGGCATATATGTGTAAGAAGGGATGTGGCATTCTAGAACTGGAGAAGCAATGCAATTTAGTAAAAATAATGGATCAATAGGCAACTTGGATTCTAACTTGAATTTTATCACTGTCTCCTTAACCAGCTTTGGCCCAGGAATGGTGGATGAGGTAGATGAAGCATTTTAAAAACATAACAAAAGGAAATCTGTATGGCACACCAGGGTCTGATCATCATTGCTATTGTTATAACAGGAAGAGGGAACTGCAGACCTAGGTTTACATTAAGTAAACTGTAGTTTCCTCTGTACATGCTGTGTGTTATAACTGAATTTTCATGAGTAAGAGGAACTGACAGCTATTGCAAAGAAAGCAAGGGCAGAAAAAATGAAAATGTGGCACCCACTTCATGGACACTGTAAACTCAATGTGCAAGCATAGATATCAATATATTGAATGCTTAAGACATAAAAAAGTAATATAACCACTAGGTGGTTTTTATTACTAATAAATTATTGTGAAAAGTATAAGCATCTAGTATCAAATAACCCATTTAGGGGAGCAACCAATAAATAACAGCCTTGGATATGGAAGCAACCTAAGTGCCCATCAACAGATGAGAAGATGTGGTACCTATAGATAATAGAATATTACTCAGCTATAAAGAAGAATGAAATCTTACCATTTGCAACAGCATGGAGGGTATTATGCTAAATGAGGTAAGTCTGACAGAGAAAGACAAGTGCCATATGATTTCACTTATATGTGGAATCTAAAGAACAATCTAGAGAAACAAATAAAATAGAAAAAGACTCATAGATACAGACTGATGGTTGCCAGAGGGTAGGGGGAGAGGAGGGAACTGGGGGAAAAAGGTGAAGGGATTAAGAAGTACTCATTGGAAGTTACAAAATAGTCATGGGGATGTAAAGTGCAGCTTAAGGAATATAGTCAATCATACTGTAATAATTAGCATGGTGCCAGGTGGGTACCAGACTTATGGGGGGGGGGGGCGTACTTCGTAAGCTATATAAATGTCTAAGCATTATGCTACATACCCAAGACTAATATAACATAGTACTGAATGTCAACTCTAATTAAAAAATAAAAATAAAAATTCTAACATTTAAAAATAAAGAAAAAAAGTAACCACTTGATGTGTCCCTTTCACGTCCATGTTTCTCTCTCTCCTCTCTCTCTCCCTCCCTACTCTATCTGAACAAAAAACGAAAAAATGTCCTCGGGTGAGGATAAAAAAATAAAATAAAATGAAATAAAGAAAAAAATAGCATTGAGAGTTGATTAGCTCAGCTGGTGTCACAGAATGCCTCCAGTTATATTTATTACTAAGGAAGAAAGTTTCTCACTTTTCCTTACTTTCAGCTTCAGTAGGAAAAGCCTACATAGGAAAGGCCACAATTCCAAAGTGTATTTGCACACCACCTTTCTGAAACACAAACACTTCAGAGCTGCCAGTGCATCTATAGTTGTCCTTATGTGAGAAGTAAACACCTCAGTAAACACTACAATCTTGAAACGAGGGTTTGAAGATGGCAGAGCAGACAGCATCAGCAAAGTTGCAAACCTCCTACCATTAACTTCCTGTCTCATGTTTACAACTATTGGCACCAAGTTCAAATTTCTATTATTACACATTTGGAGGGTATTATGTTCTCATTAGCTATAGCTATAGTTCTGAATTAAACTAAATATAAATAAAAGGTACCTTTTAAATAAGCATAATGTTGTTTGTGACTTAAGGCTGATGATTTCTAACTTTGGTGAAGTGGTGCTCTATTGTTTGTTTGATTTCAATAGATGTTGCTCAGCTTGGTGCTGGTCCTTTGAATCAAATATACAATGCATGGTACAATATATAATTCATTTTAAGGACCACTTGGAAAGAAAAATGCCCACAATTAAACTATAACATGCTTTTATATCATCAGTCATTAAGACTCATCCTTCCCCCGGCCAGAGTGGCTCAGTGGATTGAGCGTTGTCCCATGGACTGAGAGGTCCTGGTTCGATTCTCAGTCAGGGCACATGCCTGGGTTGTGGGCTCGATCCCCAGTAGGGGGTGTGCAGGAGACAGCTGATCAATGCTTCTCTCACATCGATGTTTCTCTCTCTCTTTAAAAAAAATCCATAAAAACATTAAAAAAAAACAAAACTTACTGGTCTATAAATTAAATAAAAAAAAAAGAGTCATCCTGGTTCCAGAGATGCTAAAAGGAAGGGAAAATGTCTATGTTGAAATCAATGAAATATGGCATATGAACACTGTTGCTCTTCGAATTAAAAGCAATCAAAAGGAATATTGTTTTTGAGACATTTAAGCCATGGGCTGGGATATTCAAATACTGTCAACCTTTAGGGTACTTTTAACAACTTAAACAAGTCTTTAAACTTTTCAACAGTACCTAGCAAAGTGAAGGCTCCTGAGACTTCTATTTGTAAAGTCAACAGTCACCCCTGAAATAGTTCAGTGATGAGGCTTTGAAACTGCAGAATTATTCTGCCCCTTGAGATACCAACTGTTATGATCTGATGTTACACAGTGAGAGATGCATTACGTTAGTAAACTAAACCGCCTGCTATCCTTGAACGTGCCCCTCTCCTGCTCAGTACAACCCTGGCATGGGTTTTGATGGCCTTGGAGCAGAAAAGGCATGAAACACTTTTTTCCTCCTTGGAAAGGGTTGAAAATAAAATTCCAAGGAAAAATTAAAGACAGAGAAAGACATGTTTATAAGCACCAAGGAATTTTCCCTTCGTGAGCAACCCTGGCTCGTTCAGCACTGAGAGTGAAGTCTGACAAACAACACCACCAGTCAACAGACAACACTGAAGCAGAAGAAAGTGGTTCCATTGTCTTTCCAGCGTGACCGCAGTGGTCTCGGTTCTAAGGCTCCATCTGAATAACTGCTTTCAGGGGAACCGAGCACAGCGTCCCTCCAGTGTAACTACATCCGAACAACAGAACTCTTGTTGGAACACAAACATTCATAAGACACTGGGAAAACTCCCTTCTGACTCTCCCGATTGGTGAGAGCGTCTATAATCTGCTCTTCTGTTCCTGTCTATTTCTAGGGGCTTAGGATACATTTGTTTGGTAACTAGAACTGCCCTGTACTAATCATAAAAAGTACATGTTCTTTCAAAATCCATGTTCCACAAACTTTCTGGTGGGATGAGATTCCCAAAATCAAACCTGATTGCCATCAAATCAGGATCATAAACAGACATGAATTCATAGGTGCTTACATGTGTCCTTGTATTTCTCTACGGTTTACCTTCGAGAAGAGTTCTATTATGAATCCAGAGTCATAAACCACTGGCTTCGAGCTGTCGTTTTTACTCAGGAGGATGTTTTGGGGGGCAAAAATAAAAAGGCAAACCTTAAAGAATTTAAAATAAGTAATTCTTCCCCTCAAACGTATAACCAGGCAAAAACATTTCCCACCCTTTCAAACCTGCACTCCCCAGAGGAAAAGGACTTACGTGTTCAGATTTCTCCTGTTCTTTTTTGTCTGTCTGCAAAAACTGACAGTTTTCTCTCGCCAGCTTCTGGACCAGTTCGATTCGCCTGATGTCATCTCTCTCCTGAAGCTTGCACATCACCCCTGCCTTCAGAGTTGGAGAAAAAGCAAAGATGTACTTAAATCCGCAGTCCCAGGACATGACACCGCTGTAAAGTTCACCTTATGACAAGCTCATCTTCTGTCGCCTGGATTCAATCATGGTCTTGGTAAAACATTTGGCCTTTCCCAAATTGAAATTGTATTATTTTAATCTAGGACTGCCACCCCAAAAGTCTTAGAGTTGAGATCACAGATCAGCCTACTGTAAGAGAGCGAAGGGCAGAGCAAACTACATCATTTGCTACTAACGTGTGCTCCTGGTACAACACTATTTGTTCCTGACAGCCTGTTTCCTGTTACACAAGCAAGAAGGTTAAAAACCCATGGGAAAGTTAGCCAGGAACCACTCCGGCAAAAAGGGCGAAGTGATACAGAGTTCTAAAAATAACAGGACACAACCTCCTACTTCTTTAGCTCCACCAGATCATTCCACGTGCAAATACACAAGATCACAAGGTTGTTGTGTGGTTTTTTTCACAACTGGAAAGTTACTATGGGTTATTATTAGCAAAATATCTCCAATGTTGCATAAAATATAGTGGAAAAGTTTATCAAAATAAGCTGGGAAAAAAGCTTAAAATTTAATCAGGGTTTGGAAATGACCCATAAAGCATCATATTTTTGATTACGCCAAAGTACCTAAGTAATAATAATAATATAGAGAAGAATCTAGGACTTTGGACAAAAATATATTCATTGTAATACAAGTTATGAACTGTTTCTGTTCAAATTCTTTCAAAAATGATTCATATTGACATATCAGGACACAATCTAATAAAGTAATCTAAAGTTACTCTTAGTAGAAATAGTAAAAACTACGGAATTTTTATTTTACCCAATACAACCTACAAGATTTAAATGAACTCAGCAATATAATCAAATATAAAAAAGGGGCCAAAACTGATCACAGCTCCATGGTCTTAACACTTAGTGCAAAGACACCCATTTTGTTGAATAGGCATCAGAGAAATGAGACCATACATGCAAAGCAATGACTAAATCTTTATTCCCAGGGGCAAGGATGTCTACTTATCTAGCAGATTCTACAACAACTAGGAAGGAAACAAAAGAAGTCCATCAAGTGGCCCAAATCACCAACTCCCAGAGGACAGCAAGTGAAATTCCTCCACCCAAGTCAGAGATTTATTTTTACAACATCCTCACAAGAGGTTTTCCAGTTCCTTTCCAAAGTCCCTTGGACAGGCATCTCCGTTTATCTTAAGACAGCCTGTATCCTTTAGACAGGAAGAATTGTTGGAAAATCCCTTTCACACTAGATAAAACTCTGAAACCACTGAACTTGAACCCATGAGTACTAGTTTTTTGCCTTTTAAAGCAACTGAAACTATTTCTTATTCAATATGACAATCTTTCAAATATTTAAATACCAATATTTACGGTAGCCTCCTTTTAGCATTCCCCATGTATATCCCCATTTTATTCATTGAGTCATTCTTTCATTCACTCACTCAACAGATTTTACTTGAGCAACAATCATGTGCCAAGCTCCATGGGTTCTGGGGATATAGTAGTGAACAACAACTACAAAAACAAAGCCCCACACGTCAGTGCGTGTATGTTCAGTACGGGGTGTGGATTATATAAAGTACAGATATGGAATATCAGGAGGGCAATATATGACAGGAAGGAACATAAAGCCAGGTAAGGGGGCAAAGAAATGATTGGAGGATTTGGGTAGAAAGGTCAGGGCAGGATTCTGTAGTAAGAAAACATTTGAATGGAGACCTAAAATAAGTGAGGAAGAGTGGTAAAGGCGAGGAGCAGAATGCCAGGGCCCTGAGGCTTGGGTGTGTTTGGCAGGTTCAAGGAGGAGCAAAGAGAACAGCATGGCTGAGGCAGAGTTGGTAAGGGGGTGGGGTCGGTGGGATTGGTCAGAGAGCTGACATTGGACCAGACCACGCAGTCTCCTTACAGGCTGTGTCAGAAGTTTCTCTTTCTGAGCAAGATGGAAATCCCTTATAGAAGGTTTGAACAGAGGACTGGCAGAGTCTGACTTAGATTTTAACTGGATCATTCTGTCCCCTGGGTTGAGAAAACACTGTTGGATAGGGACAAGTAGCTGAAGCTAGAAGACCAATTAGGAGACCAGTCTTCAGAGAAGAAATGGCTTGGAAATTGTGGTAGTGGCAGAGATGGTGAGAAGTAGTTAGAATCTGGATATTTTTCAAAGGTTGGGGCAGCAGATCTTGTTGTCGCCAAGATTTCTGGCCTGAGCAACTGGCAGGGCAGAAGGATCATTTACTGAGATTGGGAAGACCGGGGAAGAAGGTCTGGGAAGGAAAGTGGGGTTGCTAGGTAATGGCTGTCTGCAGGTTCAGGGGAGAAGTTGGGGGTGGAGCTAGGAATTCGGGAGTCGTCACAGTGTTGATGGTTTAAAACCAGAGGAATGAGTGCGGTCACCGCTGGAGTGACATATAACAGAGAGGGGAAGAAATCCAGGGACTGAATCTCGCACTTAGACACTGGAAGATGAGGAGTAATCAGAAAAGGAGACCAGGAAAGAGCGGCTCTAGGAGGACAACCTGGTGAGAAGCGAAGATGCTTCCAGGCGGGGGAGGGGGGGCCGGCATCGAACGCTGCTGAGAGAGCAAAGGAGGGGGCGAGCTAACCGAGGCTGAGTTTGACAAAAGTAACTGGTGGCTTTCAATAAGGCTTTTTTTTTTTTTTAAAGAAAAAAGTGGTAGAAGAAAAATTCCTTCTTAGCTTGGGTTCGACAGAGAATGAGAGACAGCTCTCCTGAAGAGTGTTGTTGCAAGAAGTGAGCACCAGCTAAAGAGTGAGGTTGAAGGCTGTTTTGCTTGTTTGTGTAAGGGGAGGGTATTCCAGCGTATTTACCTTTATTAGAAACCATCCAGTATGCAGGGAAGTTTGATGATGTAAGAGGGAGAGAAGGCATTTTTAGGAGTAATGTCCTTGAATAGAAAAGAAGCATAAAATTCTCTTAGACCCCATGAACATGACTCCATCCCCTCACTGTTACAGGAGGGAAGGTGAAATCCAGGGGTACACGTGCAGGTAGGGTGGCATATCTGGTGGTGGGAACATGTGGGAATTCTTTCCTGAAGGCTTCTATTGCCCAGAAAAATAAGAAGTCAAGTTTTTAGTTGAGAGTAAGGACGGTGAGAAGATGCTCGACGTATGAGAGAAGAAGTCATGTCAGTTGCAAGGGTTGGCAAACCTTTTTGTAAAGGGCCAGAGCATAAATACTCCAGGCTCGGTGGGCCATGTATGTGGTCTCTGGGGCAACTTTCCAATTCTGCAGTTTTAGTGCAAAAGCAGCAAGAGACAACACGCACGTGAAAGAGCACAGCTGAGCTCCGGTAAACGCTTGATTTACAGCAGTGGGCAGTAGGCTGAGGTTTGTCAGCTCCTGACCTGGGAGCAGAAACTGAACAAGGAAAGTAGGTAAGAGTGCCAAGCTTTACTGAGGGCCCACTTGATTCTAGGTTTACGTCCTTTACTATCCTAGCCATCCTCTTTAGGGTGTATTTTTGTTGGTCAGGATTTTAATGAAGCCTCAGGATTTTAATGAAGCCCCAAACCTGACCTTGAAGATGCTTTTTAAATCAGTAGCAGAGAGTAATCAGTGGTGTTAAGTATCTTCCTTTAAATAAGAAAGCAAGGCAACTACTCAGAGAAATTTCTACATGGCATTGATCAAGATTCTTTAAATATTTTGACATTTAAAGAAACAAGTGTCTGTTATCTAGAAAGTCCATTTATGTGTAGATGAATCCATGTAGGATTTCTTCTCTCTCCATCCGTGTCATCCTCAGGCTTAAGTATTCTGTCCTGCTAGCCAGGAGAGGATGTTAATGACCCTGCAATGTAGGATCTGGGCCCTGGTTATTGATTCAGTGGTGTGATGGATTAGTCTTCATCTCTCTGCTCCCTGGGGTGGCACCTGGTGGGTAACAGAATGAAGGGCACATGTGGCTTGGGCCATGCTGGGCGGCCCAGAGGAGGAAAGCACCTTAGAGCTATCATCTAACTTGGCAAGTGAGTGAGCCTGTTACCTCTTCTCACCAGCACAGACTCCAAAGCAACTGGGCTAAGCTGCCCTAGACTCCAATTTGAAGAGAGAGTCTTCCCTTCTTTTTGTGGGTCCCCAACACATTTTTAAAAACAACTGATAGAATCATCGGCAATAAAAGGGCGAGACTGAGTGGAAGAAATTTTAGAGACCGTGACTATTATTTTGGTGTCTGTGTAAACATGAGTTTCTTAAGGAACTCTAAACATTATTTGTATCGTATACTTAGGATTCTACATCCAGACCTTTCTTTCTTAAGGAAATACATTTTTATTAGAACTTGATACTTGGGTGCACAAATTATGTATTTTAAACACAAAATGCTATTAATTTTAAAAATGGGGTTCAGACTGACTTACTTCACATTTGTAATGAAATCATCTTACAATTAAAGAAGAATTACTGCTGTCTTGATTTTCTGGTTTCCGCATAATTTCTAGATGCATTTTCACAAGATAATCAATTTTAAGCACTCCTTATCAAAAAAAGGCTTTCAAGGAGGGTTATGAGTCCTTTTTCATTCCTTGGAGAAATTTATTTTTTTAAAAAATATACACATATTTTAATTAATTTTTTTGAGAGAAAGAAAAAGGGAGACAGAGGTAGAAACATTGATGTGAGAGAGAAACATCAATTGGCTGACTTCTGCATGCCCCTCACTGGGGATTGAGCCTGCAACCCGGGCATGTGCCCTGACTGGGAATTGAACTGGGACCTCTCAGTTCATGGGACAATGCTCAATCCACTGAGCCACACTGGCTGGACTATTTATCTTTTAAAATATGTCTTTACTGATTTTAGAGCGAGAGAAAGAGGGAGAGAGAAACATTGATGTGAGAGAGAAACATCGATCTGCTGCCTCCTGCATGCCCCCTACCAGGGATTGAGCCCACAACCTGGGCACATGCCCTGATTAGAAATAGAACCTGCAA